CTATAAGGTCGCAGAGTATTCCTTCCTATTTGCTTCTGGTCATGATAACGGCGTATCCAATCCAAAGCAGGTCGCAAAGCAGATCGTTCAATAAATTTAGGAGGTCGTCAACCACTAGACTCCACATCATAGGTTAGAGTACCCCTCCCTGCGGACATCCTCTAGTGGTGGTGACCTATATGGTTTTTTCACCCACATCAGCTTCTGCAGTTCTGGTGGCTAGCGTTTCGCACATCCAGGTGGATATGGTTTTGTCCATTCCTTTTTTGACGAGGTCATTTTTCATTGACTCATAAGAGGTGTTGTCAAATGCCCCCTTTATGTCCAAGAAGGCGCAGACGGCTACTTCTTTAATATGCAATGTGCTTTGGATGCTGTCGGTGAGTTCAAGTAAAGCGGTTTCTGTTGATTTGCCCGCTCCCCAGTTTTCTTGCCTGGTTTTCCTGGCCGGCCCTTTGTTTTCTTCAGTATCATTAGGCGTGTTCCTAGAAAGTGAGTTGCCAGTAGTAGAGAAGCTCGTTGCTCTTAATTTTTTGTGTAACTACTGACTGGTTTTTCAAGTGTCAATGGTCCTTGCGCCCTGCCTTTCGCCAGGGTAATCTGGCTGCTGATGGTGTTTCTGTGATAGATTCACAAAAGTCTCTGGAGTTTTTTCGCTTGGCCTTCCTTATTTCTTTATTGTACTCCGCATTTCGGTGTAGCCCTACAATTCTCCGTTTCGTTTGGCTTTGTTGAAAAGCCAACGAACCTCGGATCTAAGTCGTGACAGGTGACTGTTCAACCATGGGCAACCATTTTTGTTTACTTGTTCTTTCACGGGACAGTTGGATTCATATGCCTCCAGGACTGCTCCGTTAAGGATCTGAAGGGTTTCTACTTCACGTATATTCTTGCAGCTGAAATGATTTTGTTCGAGGTTGCATTGCAGCTTGGTTGTGTATTTTTCCCAGTTTGTATTTCTGGGGGTTCTATACGAAGTGGTTCGTTCCTGCGCTCCTTTTACGTCAAACATTATGATTCCCTACATTTAGTCTATTTAGGTTCGTTTGAAAGATAAATGCTAACAGTTGCTCACCTCTTAGATTTGTGTCGGTAATTCCCCAGATGGTGTTTTGAGCGTTGAGATCAAAGTCAATTGGGAGCGGTAGTTTGCTCCTGTTGCAGTACTCGACTAGTCTCTGTACTTCTTCTAATGGCGCTTGCCCTTCTCCAGCGAAGTAACCTGATGCGAGTACTTGGTCGCAGTGTGGTTGGTCGGTGACAAGTTTTAGCCCAACAGTGACCAAGTCCCGCGGCGTAAATTCTGAAAGACATAATTGATTAATGTTCTCTTTTAGGAAAATACATGCTCTAGGCTCGTCACACTGACTTACTTGGTAGACCTTTGATCTGCCCCTTATATATCGAAGGTTCTTGGATTAATACGGCCCCCAAGTGTGCCGACGTGAGCAACCGCGTTATGGCAGCAGATGTTCCCCTAGCGTGATGTGTGTTCATTTGGGCTATTTTGGTGTAATTCGCCATCTTACCTATTATTTTTGTCTCTTCCGATGTGGTGGAGTGTTGGCCTCCTATTCGCCCAGAAGCATATTTTCTTCCTCGCTGAGAATTTCCTCTACCGGAGTGAGAGTCTTTTCCCTTTCTTCTTTTCTTTCTTCTTCTTCTGAAGGAGTTTCAGGTTTGGACCCTGAGGAGGTGGGCACCTTTGGGTTCTCGCCTGTTTCGTCTTTTTCTTTTTTCTTCTTTAGGCCATGTACGGGGATTTTCCCGAACCTGTAGAAGATGCTGTCGCTCATCTTCTTGGTGGTTTTACAGGATCCATCGTCTATGCCGATGTTTGAGAGCTGGCCGTCTTCTTCCTTACTGCTTAGTATCTCCCACAGCTGGGTGCTAAGCCCCTCATTTTTGATGTTCACTAAGCTGAGGATTTTTTGGGAGTCTTGCCCTTTGCTTCTTGGAGAGAAGACCTTGATGGTGTGCGCTTTTGGAATGTCGTCTCTCAGGCACACCATCAGCTCTCCTCCCTACCAGAATTCCAAACTGGGGACATGGTATATTAGCTACTCCACTGTTTCCTTGGTGAGGCAATCAATCGCCAACATGCTTGGGCGAAAATGTATGCCCCCAAATTGGAGCTTATGCTCCGCACCTTTCGTCATTTTTCCCACATTGGTGCCCTCTAGGGCAGAGAATTCCTCTGCACTAAGGGCTGGGAATGCTACGGGGAGTGTTGCTACTTTTATGGTTTTTGCTGACTTGGCGTAGCTGGTGCTAAGCCCAGCGGCTTTTCCAGTATGAGAAGGTTCCGTGCTTTTCCTCTTTACGCCCGCTTTTCCTTTTTACGTCCGCTTTTCCTCTTTACTTCCGCTTTGTGCGGACGAGTTATGTTCTTGGGCCCCCTCTTCTGTACTTTGTCTGGCGTATTTTGTACCCTCCTCCTCAGTGCATTTTCTCTGGCTTCATCTGGTGTCAAACACTGTTGTAGAAACCACCGTACCACCGCACTCCAGCCTCACTGAGACCTTTTTCCAGTTGGTCGTCGAGCCTTACAGGTTGACCAAGAGGTAGCTTATATGGCTGTTTTTTGGGGTCAGCCTTTCTTTTTTGGCGTTTCTCTCCCGTAAGTGTGGTACCCTTCTTATATTTAGCAGAATCCTCTTTCCTCTGAGGTGATCTCGGAGGATGAGAGGGTCTTGCGTGCTGACTGTTTTGAGTTTTGGATGTCATGCTTCATTCGGTCAGGGATATTTGCTTAGCGGTGTCATCCCGCTTTTCTTCATTTTGTGTGTTTTACCAAAATTCTCATCCATGCTTGTTCCCACGAATAGCTAGGGAAATAAAGGTCAACCACGTCGGAGCCCCGCACGACGTGGTGAGGCTGGTTGCTTGAAAAAGTAGCCTGGTATCTTCAAGGCTCCGGTTGTGGCGATGCATCCCTTGGGCACGGAACGCGTGACACCTTGGATTGGAGGATTAGTCAGCGTCACCTTATTGGGTATTCGGTGATTACCTATGATGTGGCTGCTTGCAACTCAAAAACATAGGCCGTTCGGCCATCCACCACTTGCCGACGCTCCTCCATAACCTCCCAAGCCCATAGAGGGTACATGAATTAAAATAAATGTCTTCTAAAATAATAATATGTAAATGATCAATTTCATCCAATATCCAATGGGCAAAACACTACACCGAAGGCAACAACAATAATTACCACATTCCACTCCATAACTAACAAAATCAAGATCAACCGAAGTCAAGCAGGGCGATACACTGTCTCCGAAATTGTCCAGCTAAACTAGCGACATAAGGGTGTTACATTCGGCAGAAAAACACTGCATCGCCTCCGTTTTGCAGATGCTTTCGTACTCATTCATTGCAAACAACCTTCGAGCAGTCAAAGATAAGTTTTGAGAGCTGCAAGAGGTCACAAAAAGAGTTGGACTGTACACAAATATCCATAAGGCAATGATGATGACTAACATGGTCATCAGTCAACCAATCCAATCCAATATAAAAATATTTTTATGGAAATGATAGAAAATTCCTAGGACGTGAAATCGGAATAAATAGAGATAAACCAAACATGTTAATCAACTATAGTTGAATCAAATCCAAGCGGTCGTAATGACATTAACTGGTCATTTCCATGCGCACTGGTTCTGGTAAGGCGTCAACCAATAGGAAGGCTGGATTACTAGCTGGTGTTTGTATACAATTTAGGTTATTTAATGTCATTACTTCCGCTTGGATTTGATTCAACTATAGATGAAGAATTGCTTTAAGATGGGCAGCATTTGGAAAAATGAACACGTTTTCAAGGCAGAAATTCCAATAAGCTTAAAGAGAAATACATTCAATGAATGTATCTTACCGGTCTTGTCCGACAGCGCTGAGACCACACTCAACCTAAGCATCGATAAGAAAACGAAGGGTTGTGGTGATCGATAATGTTAATTTCAATTTCATCGCTCAGAGCAAAATGGAAATGGGCCGGACACGTTGCTAGATTCCATGATGGATGGCAAGTACGGCAGATGGACAAGAAAACTGTCTTCAATTAAGAGGAAGCGTCGACAAGCGAAGTAGAGGCCGACATGTATAGAGCGATGACCTGAAAACGATCAAAACCTTGATCTGGAATCGACTTAAGGAGGCACTATTCCAACAGTAAACCCAGAAAGCTGTGATGGTGATGATGAGGTTGTACATTGAATAGCAAGAATTTACGAGAATAGTCATTTATCTAGCTAGGTAGAAACAAAATTTATATTCTGATCAGTTTGGGTTAGTTCTATGTTGCCAATTCAAGAAATTTTACAATAAGGTACTTGAGAAAAATAACTGATTTCAATCACTTATTGTGGAGAACTGATTGGATCCGGAAGAAGACCCAGCAATTCAGCTTCAAGAGTGGCTGCTCTCATTAAGATTGACGTAAAAGGAGAAATTTTAATGTAATTTAAGCGGCATGCCCAGGATGCTTTCAACTTGAATTAATCCCCCTTGGCTTCTATCAGCCTTCAGCCTTACTTTGTTAGGTCTACATTATTTCGTGAAGATTTGGCGTACGATTCCTGCATATTTTGCAGTACCTACCTATATGTTTTTGTTTATGGGAGGTCTAGACCTTTTAGTCATAACACTAATAACCAGAAAATATGGCGTATTTGTTGATGTCTACATGACCCCGCGATGACTCGAAAACATTCGTGTATATGTTGATTATTTTTCGAAAACAAAGCCATCCAAAAACATAATGGCCTTTTGTGCTTTGTTTTCAACATGGACAAATTTAAATAACAATTGGACTTCGAATTGTTAAACAACACGTTTTACCTGCGATACATTTCTTTTAGCAGTTATGTTAGGAGGCTATTAGCATTTTAGTAGGTACCTCAATTGGCGTGCATTTTATGGTTTTCGTTTAACCGACTATTACATTGGCCAATTTCTGTGCCAATGTTGATAAGAGACGGTAGATACTGCTTAAATTATTGACGGAAATAGTTTGATAACGTTTTATTATATGATAACATTTTTATAACTCGTCTTTATGACACTTCCGATAAATTTTAATGTCCATTTGAATTAACGTTATACTTAGTTATCTTTTAATTTAGGGTTACTGGGGCAAGTGAAAGAGAGGTGACATTTCTATACATTTTAAATTTCAGCCGCAGAAAAAGTAACACATTTTAAAATATAAACAAACAAATTTGTTGGTGCTTATAGATATACCTAGCTTTTATACTATTGTTATCTAAGTATATTCTATATTGTTAAATATTCCTATTATCTGACGATGTATATTTGTAACAAATTTTAAAACTATTATATCCAGATAATATTATTAAACTATCTACAATAGTAGAGTCTCTGTAATAGAAAATAGGTAATTTTTGGTTTATCTATTTATCTGTAGCTGACGTTGATGCAGTAGTACTTGAATATTTTGTGCGTTTAATATTTTTTATAACATTGAGAATACCCATTTGGAAGTCTATAATTTGATCTTCACTAAAGTCAACAACCGATGGTAGTATGCTTCTGAAAAACAACATGTGTCGATTATTATCGTCAGATGGAGCTGTTGTTTCTTCAGATGGAGCTCTTCCTTCAGCCTCTTCTATTTTACACTTTTTCACTTGCACTGCTGTTTCGTATGTGCTGCTACTGGTATCATTGGTACTACCAACGGTACTACTATACATATCTGCAGACGCATCCGATCCCAAATCGGCAGCTTCTTCGAAAAGTTCGTATTTTGGCGTAAATTCTCCTGTGAAGGTGTCGTAAGGTGACGCACTGCCGTAAATAGTTGTAAGAAATTGCATTTGATCGTGGTACAAGTATTTTTTTGTTCTCTTCACATCTCTCTGTTTTTTCAGGTATTTCAGCCAGGCGTCCCTTAGATTTGCCCATTTCTTTCTCACAAATTTACCTGCAACAAAAATTATTGTAAATCATAAGAAATTTTTGTTTGTTTAATTTGCTGTAATGGGTCATCTTCCAGCAACTATTACAAGTGAACATTTGTGTAGATCTAGTAAAAAAGTTTTTTCCGGGCTATAAATGCCATGGTCCATTAGTATTTCTACCTAACGTTTCGTCCACTGCTGCGGTAGACATCTTCAGAGGCGGTTGGTAGAGGACGAAGTGTTCTCTTCCGTGTTCCTCTGATGACTGCATTCGACGTTGTTGAACCTGCGTTATTTATATCCAGGGTTGCGGGCGTGGCTTGTATTACGCTATTTTCCTTGTCTCGTTCTCGGAAAGGAAGGGACTTTGTTTTTCGGAGAACTGGCAACCAGCTTTTTTTGAGGTTCATGCCCTCTTCTTTTCTGTTGAAGTTGTTGTGGTATTTCTGTATCTCTATGGCTTCTCTGTGGAGCCTGGTGTAAAAATGTTGGGTTCTATCCAATGCTTGAGTCTGGTCGAAACGAATGACATGGTTTGTTTGTGTAAGCACGTGTTCGGCGATTGCTGATCTATCTATTTGTCCCTGCTGATAGTTTCTTTTGCGTTCTTTGACCCTGGTGTTGATAGAGCGTTAGGTTGTTCCTACATAGACAGATCCACAAGAGCAGGGAATTCTATAGACGCCAGCCATTTCAAGAGTTGCCCTAGGGTCCTTGGCCGATCTTAGACTTTTCTGAATTGTTCTTGTGGGCTTATAGATAGGCTTAATATTGTGTCTTTCTAGCGATCGTCCTATATGCGATCTGTGACATTTTTGATATAGGGAAGAAAGGCGCTCCCTGCCACCTGTGCTTGTTCCTTGTTTTTTGTGTGCTGTTGCTTTAGTCTTATGGCTCTATTTAACTCCTGCTTGGAGTACCCATTCAGAAAGATTACCCTCAGGTAAACTGGGACACAGGGTATATAGGAAACGCATACGGACATATACCTCAACAAGGAATCCAATCACCATCCTAGGCAAAAAAGGGAAGTCATTAAAACTCTATCTGACAGGGATATCCGGATTTGTGAACCCAGATACCTTCAGGATGAGATGCAACACCTAAAATCAGCACTTGAAGGAAATGGGTACTCCAAGTAGGACATAAATGGAGCGATAAGACCGAAGCAGCAGCGCACAAAAAACAAGGAACCAGCACATGTGGTAGGGAGAGCCTTTCTTCCCTATATCAAAAATGTCACAGATCGCATAGGACGAACGCTAGAAAGACACATCGTTAAGCCTATCTACAAGCCCACAAGAACAATTCAGCAAAGTCTGAGATCGGCCAAGGATTCTAGGGCACCCGAACGGCTAGCGTCTATTGAATTATCTGTTCTTGTGGATCTGTCTATGTAGGAGAACAACTAAACGCTCTATCAACACCAGGGTCAAAGCGCACAAAAGACACTGTCAGATAGATCAGCAATCGCCGAACACGTGCTTACACAAACAAACCATGTCATTCGTTTCGACTCGACTTAAGCATTGGATAGAACCAAACATTTTTACACCAAACTCCGCAGAGAAGCCATAGAGATACAGAAACACCACAACAACTTCAACAGAAAGAAGAGGGCATGAACCTCAACAAAAGCAAATATCTACTGCAACAGAAACGTTAGGTAGAAATACTAATGGACCACGGCATTATAGCCCGGAAAATACTTTTTTACTAGATTCGACCTGCCGTGAAAGCCTTCATTCTTTATTTGTGTAGATACTGGTATTTTTTTTGGTATCCTGTCATCTTTGTATAATAATAATAACACAAAGTTTCGAGAAAATTAAGGCAAGTTTTGAAAGCATCTGAAAATCAACTTATGGCATACCTGACGTGTTGCGATTTGAAACAAATCAAGAACGGAGTCCCGTACAGCTTAGAAGTAATGAATTAGAAGATAGTAACGTAGAGGAGGAGTTGATGCACCTTGAAAGGTTTATCTTGAGAATAAATGGTCAGATCGGGACCATCTAGATTGAGAGGTTTACGAGATAACATTGGTGCGGAGAAGCCGGGCCGCTGTTAACGACCCGAGTACGAGGATTCAGTCCTGGGACTCTTTAACGGATAGAGATCGTTATCGTGTCGCTATGGCACTTGCTTTTTTATTCTCTTTTCGAAATGAATAGAGAGGAGACGGCAATAGAGATAGAGAAAATATCTCTATTCGTTACAGAGTCCCAGCCCAGGATTCCCATTGTGTGATTTCAATAATCAAGCATTGACGCGATCCTAGATATTTCTGTACCTATGTAAAGCGCGAAGTTTGTGAGTCAGTGAATTCAGCTTAAATAGGATGATTGCTAAAGTTAGGTTGGGTTTTTTTTTTTCAAAATTGTTTAGTTCTAGCAACATGACATGACGCATGTACGATATCCCACAATTGTCTGTCCGTCATATGGTGGTAGCTTAACTTTACTACAGACATTTCCTGCTCTCAAGTCACATCCCTTTTTTTAATTTTGTTCTAAACACTCCACATTTATTGGCGGAATGTTCCAACTTCCTGACGAATACTTTCGGTTTGAATCCATTCGGGCTAAAATTATATTCTCTTTCTCTTCGGGTTTGCTCTTCTGGCCTTTTATTCTGTCTTTCATCTTCTTCTTGTTTTTCTATTGATCTCCGATCTTAATTTTGTAAAAGTGCTGCAAATTGGTAATATTCTTCTTGTATTTCTGTCATCGGGCTTCTTGTTTCTTATCTTTGATATTTTTCATGAAGTCCAGCAACATTTTGTTGACTTGCATTTCGGCTGTTTACTGTCGTGTATTTACCAAAGAATACTCTGTATGTTTCTTGAAACTTGATCTTGAAAATAGAAGCTTGCGGCGAAATCAAAATACCCGTACCTTCCCTATCCAAATTTCCAAAGAGATCATAATGCGATGTTCTAAAAAAAATCACTCTATGGATTTTTCTGTGTCAAATCCAGTAATAGAGACACTATTCATCAACTTATGGATTTTACTTAACTTTATACAACAATAATTCTCCTGTTCAAACTGACTACAACTCACAAACTGCGCGCTCTATAAATGAAAATCAATTACCCGAGAAATCTCTCTTAAATTTTTAAATATTTTTTAATCAAAGGCAAAGACAACCGAAAGAATCGAAAATACTGAAAAACGGCCATATTCATTTAATAACAAGGGTAGCGACAGTTTTTGGAATTGCGTGTATTTGCATCGAGAAGAACTGGGAAATTTTACATTATATGATACGATGTGTTAATAAAAAAATGTTCTTAAATTCTGTTTCGATTTTAAACCACAAAATAATTTCAAATAAATGTTTAAAATGATTAAAATTTAAACATAATATGTACATATGTATATTTTGCGTACTTTCAACTTTTTTCAAATGGAATGCCCTATATTTGATTATATATTTAATCCGATCAAAATACTACTAAGAATAGTAGTGAAGTTACAAAAATTCCCATAGAGCTGAAAATTGGTATGAATGTTCGGAACACCATTATAAATGAATGTTGAAAGATCCCCATCGATCTCGTACCTGGAATTTTTTTTATTCAATGTCAAGGTCTATTCCACGGTCCATTGTGATCCTGTTTAATTTAAAATCATTGGATAATAATAAATAATAGTATTGGAAATGATGAAAGCTGTATAAATAAATAAAAATAATTTTTTTGTGCCCTGAGGATGACGAAGTTTAGGTCGAAACGTCGACAAATACATATTTTTCATCTCCAACTCTGTTTTATTGACCTGAATCCAACTTCTGAAAAACTAGTCAAATAAAAAGCATGTCAGGCCAAAAGGAAGAGGGTGAAACTGTTACTGTTGATCGTGGCATGCAAACATTAATCAATGCAAGTATTGAAAGAGTTGATCGTTATATCTCATAATCGGTGGCTTTTAATAAAAAAAGTATTGAGACATTTTTTATAGATAAATATGATCTGCAATTTTTGTCTGACCTAATTTTATGAAATGACTAGCTGACCCGGCGAACTTCGTACCGCCTCTGCTTTATTAAATACCTATTAAATATTGTGTTAAGGTATCTAGTAGCTGAATTAAATTCAGTTTATTTGGCCTTGGTTGAAGAAAATTAATTTTTACTCTCTGGATCAGAAATCACTTAAAATTAAAATTTCACATCATCCCTTTTTTAGGCACCTTGTGGGCATTATTCTTGTAAAGTGTACCACCAAATAAATAAACTCAGGCACAGGAATGTTCGAAGAATGTAAAGAAAACAGAAAAAATCTGAATCGTCAATAACCACTGATCCAAAAGTTCATATTAACACACAGGATCAAATGTAAACAAAATAATGTCGGCCTGCACTGCCATATTGAATCACGTGATTTGGATTGCCTAATAAAATAACATAAACATAACCTATCACAATATGCACAAATTTTTACTATATTTGATGTACCTCATAATAGTCATCAAATACGTTGTTTTCAATTTTTTATGATGGATGTCCATTTAAATCCTATATATTCATATTTAAAAGTAGCAAGAGGTAGGGCGCAAAATGGCGGCGTTCTCCATATGAATATAGGTATAGGACTTTAAAGAACCAATAAAAAATAAGACAGCAATTGTCGCCACTGTGAATGGTATGTAATGAAAGAAAAGGACCGCGCTATTTGACGATAGAAGATATACCGGGTGACACTGAAACTACTACCATTGTATCTACTACCCACGGCGGCATTTCTTAACGGCTCGAGATAGAAATATGCAATTCCGTATGTCGATAGGGTTGAAAATTTTAAACAATTTTAATATAAAAACAACTGAATTGCTTTTCCGGTTTCACCGTAAATGGCATTGACTTTGTTATTTTAAATTGGAGGTATATTATCTTTTTTTTGGACTCTTGAGCAATTCTAAATAACTTTTGTCTAACATACCCTATGTCAAAAATTGATAAAGTCTGTTTTTTTTTTTAAAAAGATAAAAGTCAAAATGACATTATGTTGGCAATACAA